AGCCAGGCGCATCAGGGTGCTCATAGCGCAGAAGCTGACAGGTCGCAAAGGCGGTTTTAAGGCCGATAACATTGTTCTTCGATGTAGACGCGAGCCTATGCAATTCAGCCATCCTCCGATCGGAGCGGGATATCGGTACAATCGACGATTATGTTCGTGGGACGGAATCTCATTGATTGCCTTTGGGACTCATTCCGACCAAAGAGCTGTCCTAAAGATTGCAATGCCAAGCAGCTACGTCCACAATCAGGAGCGCAAAGAAGGAGACTCGCAACCACGACCATCATGCGACGTAGGGTTGGCTAGACGACGAGTATAGCATGAGTGCTGTGATGAGGAAAGTTGCACTCCAACAATGTGACGATAGATGGTCGTTGGGCTATCGCGCTAAGACGGACTGATGCTGTCCAGCGGGGTCGGACGGAACGCACGTGCCCCACGTGACACGAACACCGTCCGTACACAAATTGTGTTCAGCCAGAGTTCGCAGGAAGAGCTTCTTGATGCAAGGGGCGATGCAGGATTTATGCTAGATGTCTCATAATATCCTCAATATGGCCACATTGCAAGGCAACAGCTTGTAAATATCCAGTGACGGAACACGAAGCGAACTGAGTTGAAATCGAAGACTTCGACGGGCAGATCAACATCTTGGTACCCCTGCAGTGTCCCTAAAATCAACAAGAACCTCAAAGATTGAACTTCTTCCTTAACGAATGCGTGTGAGCGTCTTGGATGTCTCCACTTAACAACACAGTGCTAGCGTCCCAACCCCCATAGAAGATGTTGATGCGATTGAGCAAGCTGCTGGACAATTATACTGAGCTTTGGCTGCGGACGGACCCTTGATTTGCCAATGTGCATTCAGCGTTAAGATGCCTGCAGCCATTTCACACTTTTCGGCTCGCCGGAACACGGAACACCAACGGACTTGTAACCGCATATTTAGTTTCGGAATCCGTGCAAAAAAATGTCGATGCGATTGCCGTTGGACGCTGAACAAAAGCAAGGGCCGAATGAGGTTCGAACTCATGACCTAGAGATACTGGGCATGCATTTCTGCTTCACTGCAATCTCTCGCGCTACCACTGTGCCACCGACCCTAATTGGGACAAGTGGCAGTCCAAATATGCATGAGAAGGTTATGTTGTGGGTGAGGGCAAGGGAAGTGGTCGAAATTTGGGAGCAGAGCACGGCGTTCGACTCCAGCACGGACCCCGCTTCTCATCGGCTCCTCCGAGATAGAGAGACAGGTATTCAACACATTGCGAACAACTTCTGTGCCGGTGCGGACTGAAGGTTGTGCGTTTTGATGGGTTTTCATGGTGGAATGGGAAGCTCGCGTGAGTAGACAGAGGGAGAGACAACGCTACGCTGCGGGAGATCGCCGCACGAGCCATATCTTCATCAGGGATTCGTCGCCGGATCTTGGCAACGAACGCCTAAATCCAAAGCTGTACGAGTCTCCTGAAAAAAAAGTTGAGGCCACATATTGCACATACGGAGTCTTAACTTACGCTCGAGGATAACTGAGCAGTAGATCTGTTGTCAATCTCCCTTTGTTAGTCTTTGCAGCCATGAGTCTCCAGATTCCTAACCGCTCCAAAGGGGCCGGCAAGAGCACGAAAGCTGTCATCCTTGTAAACAAATCGTGTGAACATAACGTTCCAAACTGACATACTCGTCAGGTTGGCGGTCCCTCTCGTGGCACTCGTTTCCGACCGCTCTCGCTTGACGTACCGAAGG